GTAAGTTTTTCTCTTGCATTAGGGGGGGGGGGGGGGGAATTTATATTTTTATTTTATATAAAAATATAAATAAAGTATACTGAAAGACCTAACAAATTATGAAATTATGGAGGTCAGTAAATTCCCCAAGATTAATTCCTGAAGAGAAGGGGGAGAGGGGGGGACAACACATGGCTATCAAATATTTAATATTTTCATTCCTTGTGTTTAACCCACCTGAATGCATCTTTCAGTGTGGATGGTAGCCCAGGGTAGGGATGTGACAGTTGGTGGATGTGAGTCAGAAATGTCATCCTATGTTGTTAGCTCCTGTCTTCCAGCTCTGTCTGTGTGTCGTGCTTCTACCCACTGAAGGCTACAAAGCAGTGTGATCTAGAAGGACCATAAACTTAGAAACCTAATTCTGAGCTAGAATAATAGCTCTGTCAGTGAATGTTTTGGACATGGGCCAGATATTTATCCCTCTAGAATTGCATTCCCTAGTCTGGGAGCTGGGGATAGTTATAGAATCCATCAGTTACTCTATAGAGTGCTTTGCAAATGACAAATGCTTTTATATATGTTAAATATTAATATAATTTAAAGGATCTTATTGCTCTCAAGTAGAGCACAACCTACAGCTTATCAATTATGTGTTCATCCAGTTAATGACCTGACAGCCGAAATTGCATGTAGTCACAGACTGAGATGCTTCTGAGGCAGGTTTGCTTAATCCATTATCCCCTTGGTGTCCTTTGTTTCAAAAGCCCCTCTTTCTTATTCCATATTTAATGCTGAGCGTCTTCGCTGCCTGCTGTTGTATCTTTCAGTCTCTCTCACGTTCAGTACTTTGCATTTGCGACACCAGGAGTTTTTCATATTGTGTGAGATATATCTACACGGGAAAATGTGGTGAAGGTAACCTCAAAGCTGAGGTTAACAGTGGTTCATCTAATGTGGTATCCATTCAGTGAAAGAAGCTTAAGCAAATGCCAGGTAAAAGCTTTCTCCTGAGGCCCCACGGTGTTACTGCCTGTGTGCTGTATCCATCCTGACCCAGAAAGTCTTTCATGCAGTAAGACATCACAAGCCAAAACCAGGTTAAGTAGGCAACCCAACCTGTTCATTCATCCTCCTCCAAAACCATAAACCAGAAGCATTACCACCTGTACCCCCACTGTCTCTCTCATCTGGGAGCCTACAGATGGTAGCGGCAGGCTTATCTAACAAGGGTGTTCCCTTTCAGAGGTGGGATGGCCACTTAATGGTGCTTTGTCTGTCCAGGGACAGCTGTTGGCTTTTGGAGCAGAAGTATTTGCTGAACGCTGACATTGTCCCTGGTACTTTGTCAAAGAAAAACAGCCTCAGGGTGGCTACATAGTTCTCCCATGTCATGAAGAAGCTGGAGGTTTCTAATGGGTGCTCAGTCACAGGAGTCAACACAGCCTGCTCAGAGGGATACTGAGCAGTGATTTCCACCTAGATGTCCATCCCTGCTGGAAGTGGTTCTCCTTGTGCTCTTCATTGCACTCTCCCAGCCAGCATTGGGATCAGAAATACTCTTTGTCAAAAGCTGCCAAGCCCACAGTTGGGGCGAAAACTGTACTGCAGAGAGGGTGCTGAAGACTTCTCTTTTAAGTGAGCTCTGACCTACGCTTTGCATTTGTTGGTTTGGAGAACCAAATATAAAGCAAGATCCAAGAGTGCAAACAGTGAGCACACTAGTTCAGTTTTTTTCCTAAGATACAAGAAAACGAGCAGAAGTAACTTATTTCTGGGTTCTTCCCACTTTAAGTAGGGGTTTTCAAGTGCTGTAGGATTTTATTTCCTTCCTCTTCCCTCTCTGCCCTATCTCAATTTTCTGTTATCAAGACTACTGCATTTTAATTAAAAGATGCAAGTGGAACCAACTGTCATCTTCTCCCTTACATGCAGCCTAATTTGAAATGTCTTTCTAAAACAGGTTAGAATTTGCCTTCATCGTTTCTGCTCTAAACATATACATGCTATTAATTGCAAAGTGAGATCAGAAAACTATAACATTTCATTTTTCAAAGGCTTAGCTGTCTGAGCCCATTGGTAATTTATACTCTCTCTTGGTTCCTCCATGGCTCTGACTTTCTTATTGTGCTGGACACCAGTAAATGAAAACAAATGTTTCCATGGCAGCCTGTCTGTGGCATCTCTGCAGGCCTACATCAAACAGAGTGAGTTGCTGTAGGATTCAGATAGGCTGCAGAGCACGTGCAAAGCTGACGTCTTGGAAGGCATTACTGGTATCCCCTCTTCTTGGTGGGTGGGTGGTCAGCTGAGGTAGGAGGGGACTGGTAAAAATACACTGATTTTGGACTTTTTTCCCCTCCACTTTTTCTCAGTCATGCTGCCGCTGGGACCCGGGCAGTAGTTGGGTGTCCCATGCTGTAGCTGCTGCTACGCCTTTGTGATGAACCTCTGGTGACTTCGTCCCTGATGGAGAGCCCATTTCCTTAAT